CACATTTGAATTTTACTTGCATAGTTGACGGAAGGTATCTTCAGCCATCTGCAAATTCTACTTCTCCGGTAAATCCGTTGGAGATGAGGAGAGAATGCGGTCAATATGACTGCAAACAATGCACGAATTTAATGTGGATGGGGCGTGTTGCAGGCGTCATTAATACATACGTACCGCTGTTGATCGTTATCCAGAAACTGAAAAGCCTGACACACACTGCTGAAAGTGGCATGCGTTGACAGATTTCAATTGCTGGAAAGACGTTGGACCGGGCACATTCACCAACACCATGCGAAGTAAGATTGGGATGCACGGTATGCAGTCTGCCAATCGCAGTTCCTTTGAGTATGCCGGGGTGTCCGTCCACTCGCTCTCCTCGTTTGCGTTGTTCGGATGATTTTCTACGCACATTCTCTGTATAATGCGTAAGCACTTCCGAATGCGGCAGTGGTTTCACAAAGGCGTCACTTTGGCTTAACGTGGAGAACGAAGTTGACATTGTTGCCAGTGGACCTAAGGCAACCTGTTGCGCGTTTTGCATCGGTGAAGTAAGCGCATTGCCCATTCTCTAACTGTACTGCAAGCGAACAACACCTGGACTTCGCTCATGGATGAAAATGAAAGAATTCGCCACATGGATTTCTTGCTGTTGACGCATCTTCCAGCCCAATACTGTGCGATTTCATTGTGTTGTACGTCCGCATCCCTTTATCTCCTTTCGTGTTGCAGGACGAAAACGGACATGTCGCAGCATTTATTCACGTACTTACAAATGTACCTAATTCATTTCCCAAAATTGAAGTGTTCCACTTTTATGTAAACTGCGTTTACTTTTAAAAGCAAAGGCGAATACGAAACAAACCAGCGGTTACCGACTTCTATGTCACCGATTCGCATTCGTACGGTTGCCAATTTGCCGATGTCTTCCGCTGATCATTTTCGGTATAAGGGACTTCCGTCTATCATGCGGGGGGGGGGGGTTGGAGGATTGGGATTCAGTGCATCTAAGGTCCATGTAGCATATTCTTCGTCACAACTTCATGCAAATCATTGTCGACGTCGATATCAGATAATTCGGCGCATACTGCGTCGTCGTTTTCGCTGGAGGTGATCTTGTTATAGAACCAGATCAGGACATGCGCAGGGGCAGTCCCCACTTTTGCCGTTCCACCTAATACATCCAGCAGCGCACTGACCCAACCACCTCGTGTTTCACCATGAAGTTCATCAGCGATTTCGGTTTTCTGCAGAAAAACATGTACTCTGATGTCATACCTATTCAGGGGCGATAACCCGAGAAGTGAGAGCTGAAAAATATTCCCCCCAAGATGGATTGCATGTGAATGTAAAGAGTAGGTTTGGACGTCCGTACTGACAAACAAAAGGGATTGCACCTCCAGCGTACCCGGGTGTATGGCGTAAACTGTCTGTGTATGCGGAGGACAAAAATCAGTAGTCTTACAACGGAAGGTGTATTACCGTCGTTTACAACTGCATCATGCAAAGGAATATATTCTTCAAAGCGCAGTTTGGTCGGATGCAAATGAATGAAAAGCGGGCGTCCTGTTTCGATTTCGCATGCGTATTCACAATGCAGTGATGAAGCAATTGACGGCAGTTCAAAAGGGGTTTACTTACATTCTGTCGAAGCATAAGTCGGAAGGAGTAGTAGATCATTCCACTAAATTTC